GGTGTGCAGCACAGGCCCGGGCCCCTGAGAGAGCCCTTTGTTTGGGGGGAGACGCAGCCTTGTGGCCTCCAAGTCTGAGCGAGAGGTGCAGGGGAGGAGGGTCAACCTGCGCCGCCATTACCTGGGAGTCGTCTTGGGGGCGGGCGGGCACAGAATTAGTCAGCAGATAATGAAGCTGTCTTTGATTGCAGGGGAGAGCCGGGGTCTGACGGGGTGGGGGGTGTCCTGTACAGGGGGCCTCCGCAGGGCATGAGAAGCATGTCTTTGGAGAAGCGCCTGCTGTCAACGGATGCTCTGTTCCTCCGAGATCCTGGCATAGTTTAGGGTTGAAAGATGCACAAGGGTTGGAGAGGAGTGCAGCCAAACACATTCCTTTGTGCGGCTGCTGCAGGTGAATGGGCTTCAGACACGGCACACACACTAATGTGAACACACGGAAGGGCCTACATCAATACACACGTGGTGAATCCTGCTTTATATCTGGAGGCCCTTTCAAATGATTAAAACACATATTTGGCAACCTACATAATATCTTAGTTCAAACTTTAAAAAAAATATGATCAGAATCAGAATAGCTTTTATTAGTCCCACTGAGGGGAAATTGACATTGTTACAACACAAGTAAAAGGCAAACAAATAAAGATATTAGAGGAATACATTATACAAAGTACAATTTACAAAAGTGCACATCTAGTTAGAAAACAATAAGTACAGTAACAGTATTTAAAACATATATTATTAAATCAGTGTCGCATGTAGAAGTAGTGTAATAGCAGCCAGATAACAGTGAAAGTAAAGTATTTAGTTATTTACAGATTTGTTACGGTAGTTGAATAGTCTAAACAAGAGATAGCAGCCATTAAAAACAATAACTATAAAACGGTATATATATATATTGCATATATATATAGCCGCACACAATGTGTCCCAAATGCTTCAAACATTGAGCATTTTTGCACGACAGGCTAATACTTTTCTGAAACTCAATGTGACTGTCCGTTCTGATTTTCACGTGTCTGTTTTTGTCTCCGTGCACAGTTGTCAGGACAACCTGCGCGCCTGGCTCATGGCCGCCCTCCAAGCGCAGACAAAGCTGTCGTCGAGTGAACCAGGCGTGTGTCCACCGGACCTGAGGGGTGCCGCCACCGCCAACAAAACACACAAAGACCCTCGCCCCTGGCACCGGCCCTCACCCCGTCTACCCGCTACCCTGCCTCCCCCCCACCCTCAACTCACCGCTGCCTGACGCTTTGTGCCGGCTCTAAACATTCGGTACGGACACCCACCGCCTGCAGAACTGTGAACCTGTATAGCTGTTTTTGAACCACCACACTCTTTTTTTTTACTTGCTGTGATCTGTTATTTAGAAAGTCATGGATGGTGGCGATCCACTCTCTCCTCCCCAACGACATGAGCAGACGTCAGACACATGCACATTTTCAAACACAAACAGACCCAACGTATTGTGAGAGTACTCCCTCGTGTAACTCTACGTACCCCGGTGCCCTCTCCATATCATGGGTGCTACTAAATCTCTATATTTACCATAATATAGGCTTTTATTTAGTCCTACGTTTAGAGTGGCCCAACGGTGTCCTCAAGCGCGTCTAACTTTACTCAGCCGCGCTCTTACAATACCTAACGTCTCCTACTCTCCTTTGTAACAGTAGACTCAATCTTCTTCGTCGCCTTTTACCGAAAGCGGAGAAGGTAAAAAAGCTGGTGGAAAAAGACATTCCCTTCGATCTCCTCCGTCCGCACAACATTCTCATGTGAACTTAGACACAAAACTTTCGAAAGACGAAAAAATTCTTTAAATGATCGCTTTTCGAAAATTTTAGGAACTTCCTCAAATAAGATTTGGAGTTTATGTATAAAGTCGTTAAGCCCGATCATTTAACTTTTCTCTTTCCCTAGAACGCCTTCAGCGTCGTTGCCCCACTCTGTTTCTTTTGTTTGCGTCCGTCAACGGTAAAAGGGCTACGGTTAGTTTACGGTGACGATGAGTCTTACACTTTTCTGTATATGTAAAGGTTTCATAGTATATCAGGAAGAGGTAATCATGAAATCGTCTTACCCTAAAGGACGAAAAGAAGGTTTGTTTTACTACGAAGAAAGGGGCGTGAGTTGGCGATAGTCAAAAAATTTGTAAATAGTGACTTCTCAAATACAGAAGTTAAAGGACCGGGTAGGAGAGAAAGAGAGGGGAGATAAGCAACACAAAAACGCCTGTCCAAAATACGATATAAAGGTACCAAAAGTAGTAACAACAGACAACAACGCGCAGCATGTCAGAGCAAGACTAAGACACTAGCAGCAGCGCATATGCAGTGGAAAACGCAAATGAAGCACAGACTCTATGAGCTGTCTCGGGTCCAGACCAACTACCAATCGACCGGTGCACCAGACAACCACTAACCAAGATTGCAATCCTCTAAGACAGCGCGAACATCGTACGCTACCACATGGTTCCACAACGTGTCCGCGTTGCGGTTATATCTCTCGCTCCTCAGAAATCCTCCACAGTGATACAAGTTCTTCATTTGTTTCCTCAGATTACCATTCATGATACACCCTGTGTGATTATCTTTGCCCTTATACCCGCTCTCTTTCTTAATATGCCCACGAAAAAGAGGTAAAGAGTTTACTAAAACCAAACAATGGGAAAACTGTCCTGACAATCGTTTCGTCGTTTGATTTATACTTTGGAATGTTTAGTGCTGTCAATGGAAATAGAAAACAGAGTGGCAGTTTTCTCGTGCGACACTTTATAGTGTCTGGCATTAGTATTACTGACGACAACAGCGGTCAAAAGATCACACGCAGGTCTGCCGAGTCAGTGTAAGTTCTCCGCGCCTATATGTGTTAAGATAACCACTGCCCATTAGAGCGGTTACCACTGGCCCAAACGGAATATTCAGTGCGCCAGAACGTCGCTCGCGCGCTCGGCTCCCTCTCGCCGAGCGAGCTACCTCGAGTGTGAACATGGCTCAGACCTCGAGTGGTCTCAGCCTTAGGTAATTTGTGACATCCAAAAAAAAAACCCTTTCCCTCTTACTCTCGGTTTCTGTAACACCCGTTCACGAGTCTCGTGCGCAATAAGACATTCTCCAACGTCAGGTTATCCAGTAATATAGTGTGAAAAGGTAAAGTAACTGTAGTAACCACTCGCTATGAGGAGACGTATTAATAACAATTGCTATTAGTAGTACAAGAAGTGAGCGACACTACAGGACATGTTGAGAATATTATGTTCAGTATGACAGTGAAGACTGCGAGACACGTCACGGTGAGATGACACGCATTCAACTAATTGATAAAGAAAATCAAATTTCAGTCCATTAATACTACGTCCTGAGGACTTGAAAAAAACACAACCAACAACATATTATAAGAACAAAAATATCATAGACGCCAAGATTTCTGAGAAAGGTGTATGTAAATTCTGGGTAGCGGTGAAACTCCAAAAGTTTAGTGCAAGTGAAACGCCCTGTATGAAACTGTAGTAGTACTACCCAAAAACATGATTATATGTCATAACTAACAGGAACAAAGCGAGGAATAGAAGAGTGATAAAAACCAATGGAAGAATTTGAAATGTACAAGGGTCACACGTATCTAAACAACAATCCGAAGAATCGTTAACGCATGGGCCGAAGACACAGAGTATACAGGTCACTCGCACGCTACAGGACAAGTCTACTGCAGGTTTGGGTGACCAACATGAAATTTAAAATGAATTGATGTGTCTAACGTGAGACCACGTGGATGCGTAACTAAATATGTAAGTCCGTCTGACATGCTATATGTTGGAAAGGAACCTGTATAACAAAAAGACTAAACGAACGCTGTTCGATGTTTTAATTGAATGGAACCATAACACAAATAGAAACACTTCTCTCCGTAAAGTAAAGACCTCTTTAACTAAATAGCACGTTGAAAATATAACTGAAAAACTCTCGGACGCTGGGGCCGACAAGACGTGGTCGAAGAGAACGTTATTAAAACGACATGCTGCAAAAAGGAAGATACCTATATAATGACATTACTGACTTCTATGCTGTGTAGTGTCGTAGTCGTTTTTGTGGTAAAATTCGTAGATAAATGGTAAACTTTACTTGCATACAAATAGACGAAGTAGTAAAATAACTACCTCGTTCACTCGGCTATCTAGTTCTGATCAGTTTTAACAGGTTTACAACCGGATAGGACTTACGTATGCGACTAGACTAGAGAAAAAGTTTTTCAACGGTCTTTAGGTGAGGAACGCTCTTCGCATGTTGTAAACAATTGTGGATGTCGCGGGAGTAATGCTGCGCTCTAAATACCTGACCGATGTGATATAACGTAACGTAATCGACTGCAAAATAGGTTCACTGAATGTTATTCAAAAACCGCTAAACAACTTAAAGCAATTGTATATGACTGTATCTTAATAGCGACTATGACAAGCACAAGTCTCAAGTTTGTGAAGTCACCTTTGAAAAGACAGTAAGTGGTCAGATGAACTAGATTGACTTTGACCCCAAAAACGGAAAACTAAACCATGCAGTGAATTTGTTTTAGTTAAAATAGATACTTTGTTCTACTAATAAAAGTACTCCACGGATTTAGCGGTCATTGTGAAGTACACACTAAAGGAAATAAGACACATGAAAGTAGAAAAAACGAAAACCAAGAAGCGAAGTTGATCAGTTATACATCCAAGGACTAGAGTGGTGAGACTTGTACGAAGATTTTTTTGTACGAATTTTAGTTTGTGTCTTCGACATCTTTTGTCGACAAGCTCCAAACAGCCACACGTAAAACACATCACATCGTCGACACAACAAATCAAAAATAACTACATAGAATATTATTAGTAAGTATTAACTCACTTTCCAGTGACTTCACTAGCCTCATGGGTATTCTCTTTGTCGCAATTATCACTTGCCTCCATCGTCTAGATTCTACTAGGTCTTGGTCGAGGTGAGACTCTAATGTTGGTGCAAGACGATTACGACTCGCAGTGTTGTGTTCAACAGAGCTGTGGCTGAGGTCTTACTAGACAGTAAGAGCTCAATATTATTGTCCATACGAATACTCAGCTCGTACCAGCGACAACACTGTTTACCGCACTCGAGTCACAGTGTAGAGATCATACCTCACTGACTGTAATCGTTTATTACTATAGGTTGTGAACTGTGTCGGCACAGATGTGATAAGTGTAAAATTTAGTGACCTGGACTGTCTCTAATACCAGAGCCTACAACCTCGCACAAGAACAACACAACACTACGCTCTGTCCTTATACGTCATTATAATTTCTCTTTTTAAGTGTTCTACTCATAATGTGTAGGACACTTTTGACGACATTTTACAGAAGACATAGAGACCTCCTCTAAGACCGTTCAAATTCGTTTGTTGGGCCACTACAGTAATTCAAATACAACCCTTTGACTCTGCTTTTTTAGTTAATAATTGTTTCTTAGAGCGCAATGTTGTGGCTCCCCGCACTTCACCCTTTTCTGTAGTTGGAATGGCCCGTATATGTTAGTCGACCGTAATACCCTTTGCTTCCTAGATCACAAAAACCTCGACCTGGGTATGATCCCCTGATGATAATTCCTGCAGACCGGGAGAAAACCGAGATAAAAGTTGGTAATAAAAAAGTAGACAGGTACACTCAGGGTTAAAAATACCTTCACGTTATAATTTATCGACTCGTAAAAAGTTTCTGATTCTATTGTACCAGTGACGTACAAAAAACTTCAAAGATCTCTCTTTCCTCTAACTCTTTTCGCACAAGTTCTTTCTAATCTTGAGTGAATTTACCCTAATACGAGGAAAACGATACTAAATTTTCTTTGTACGTATAAAAAATAGTTGAACATATTACGGTAGTACTACGAAAGGTAACCGTTCTTTTCACAAAAATACACACACAAAACTCACTCTTGGTTTATTTTAGAATATTTTATTGTTGGGTAATGTGTCCTCTGTTTTTGGTATACTTGAAACAATGGAATTTTCTCACCCAGTAAACGTACAGAACGGTAAACACCACACAACACACAACACACACACACACACCACACCAACACACACCACACACACACACCACACACACACACACACAACACACACACACACACACACACACACACACACACACACCACACACACACACACACACAACCACACACACACACACACACCACACACACATGAATAAGAGGGGGCACAATTTTTCTCCCGTACCCACCGTCCCCGATGGAACTTTTCCTCTTCTCTCCTTGAA